GAAGGAAGCGTCGCAGATGGGTAGTTTTCATATGCTAGTGGAGGTCTGCGGTTATAAGTCTGGAACTGCTTTTGGAATCGAAATGAAATCAATGGTTAGGATCTTTCAATTTTTTTACAAAATTGAAATTGGGCCCTTGATTATTACTTGTGGCCAGGATTTGTTCAGTTTTTTCAGAGTGAAATTGGGCCGTAGATCTCAGATTTAGGCGGGAAAATTGGATTCTCAATTTTGATCCTTCTTTTATATATATATTAGATTTTATAGTTGATTCTTCATATAGAAGTAATTCGGTTTGAATTGACATTTCAACCCTGCACTCGCATAATATCTTGTTCCATGAAAAAAACAATAAATGCCTATTCATTCCAATTCAAATTTTCTTTTTCTGCTTTATTTTCATTAGAAATTCTGATTAAAAAAATAAAATTCACACATTACTTCGTAACAAAATATATTAAAAATTTTAAGAGGTGACATGATTATATTATTTTATTAAATAAATTAAAAAAATAAATAAAATTTAATCATGAGAAATAATGAAAAGACAATTTTTTAAAGTTAATCTAGGGCAAAATCATTATGAATTCTTTTTTGGCTACTCCCACGCCTCATGAGGAATTCTTTTTTGGCTTGGTTAAAAACTCAAAATCAAGAATGGCCTCGTCATGGATTTCTTCTCTGCTTTTTTTAAACTAATAACACTAAAATAGAGCAAGAACATTAACAACTAAATTATTAACTAACCACACAACCCTAAAAATGGAACAAAACAAGTGCTAAAAAGTATTGGTAAAAAACATAATGCAATCAGACATTGTTTATTGTCTGTGATCTTTGTGATCAAGGTAATTGGCATCCAGGTGCAAGTATCATTACGTCTTGCATCTCGGCTAAACATAGTGATTGTTCTACTAGAGCACGTATCACCGCTCGGTCCATCACAAAAATGCACATACGTAAATTCGATCTACCTCAACCTAGCTAATAAACAGCCCCGCCCAATGGGGAGTTCAGGATGTTCTTTTGCATAGGGCCTCCAAATTTAGGGACCCATCATTTATATATATCTTATACCGAGGATATCTCAGCTCAATACAGTTTCAAAGTCCAATATAATACTTTATCCATTTATGGAGTAGTTGAATATTTTTTCTGTGATTCTTGATTTTTCCTTCGCTCTTCAACAACATCCCGACTCTTCGGTTCCTCCTCTGTAGAATAAGCTCTTCGGTTCCTCCGGCCTCCTTTTCCCCCTTCTCCTCCCTCTTTATTATGAGATTTATGGCTTCCTCCCCTCTATAGGTTTGTGTTCCTAATCTTGATAACTCTTTACTTTAGATTTATTTGTTTAAAATTTTTCTAAATTTCATATTCTAATTAATAGGTATATGTTTCAAATTTTTGTTTTTAGATATTTTTGTTTAAGTTTTTTCTTTCAAATTTTCTGATTTCATCTTCAATCCCAAAAGATAATTTTGTATCTTTTGTTACTGTACATTTAAAACTGATTTAGTAAGACTATAGCCTAATTGAAACTTTTGAGTCATCCTCTTATGAAAAAATTGAAATTAATTATATTATGTTTAATGTAATAACTAATATTAGGGAGTAGTATTTTTGCTTTATCAAAATATCTAGTTTTAACATAAAATTTGGGACCTAAATTATTAAATTGCACAGGGTCTTTCATAATGATTGGAGGGCTCTGCTAATAAAACACAGTGAAACAAACAAATAGAATAAATTGCAAATTATATTGAACTCAGAATCAAAGATGGATAGAGATAGAAAAAATTTGAAGATATTTGTATGTTGACTTTTTCAAATTTCATTTTTGATATGATAGGATAAAGGCAGAGTATGAGCAAAAAGATGCGAACACCCCTTCTTTTTATTGAAATTTTTAGATGCGAGTCGTGGTACATTCGAAAACCAATTTTCTTTGTCTTCATAGAATTTAATTTGATTTTATTAAAAACTAGCCTGATTTGATTTAAATTATGTTTAAAGTGGTTGAAAATAAGTTAAAATACAGTAGTTTTTTAGTGTGAATTTATACGGAGTAAAATGAAGAACAAGACAGGACCAAAACAGTATTTTGACTATTTTCCGAATTAGCCAAGCTGCCTGAGCATTGAGCAAAATCTCTCCAGGAGGGATGATCAGGCGTCTACCAATCAATTCAGTCCGTTAGTCGACGGCAATGACCAAAATGAACGCCATGAATTTCGCCTCTCCACGGTTCATCCATCGCGCCGGCTTCCGTTCTGAAACTTCATCGAATCTCGTGCATATCTTCAGGCATTCATTCTTCGGCCGCCATGGAAGACGATACAGTGCACTTCCGCTCTCTCCCAATCCCAAGGTAATGTTGTGCGGACTTTGAATCCCTTGTAGAGTTGTAGTTTCTCCTCAACTCACGGTATTCATTGCATAACCAGTCCAGCGATGAAGAGCTGCTGGTGGTTGTAGGGGGTGGCGCCGCCGGAATGTACGGCGCAATTATGGCCAAGACCGCTGCGCCGGATCTCAGAGTCGTTGTAATTGAGAAAGCGAAGCCATTATCGAAGGTCGGCCTTCTTCTCCCAGCTTGTATTGGATACCTCAGTTGATTTCCAATGTTTGCTAAGACCAATGTTTCATGCGAGTTTCTAAGCTGCAATTGCATTTGTTTTAGTGTTATAGAATCCTTGTAAACTTCCCTCGTATGAGAAACTTACTGTGATGCCCTTCAACAGGTGAAAATTTCTGGAGGAGGCCGCTGTAACCTGACGAATGGGCATTTTGCTGATCATATGGTGAGCATGTCAAATTCGATTTCAATAGCTGATAAAGCGTTGGCAATACCACTGGCTCAGTGAAAAATTTCATGGATGGGAATAGGCACATCTGACTATGTGAGCTATTCTTGCTAAGACCAATTTTAAATTTGTAGCTTTTGGCAGACAACTATCCAAGGGGAAATAAGGAACTGAGAGGCTCATTTTTCAAGACCCATGGTCCGATGGATACTATGTCTTGGTTCTGCGAAAATGGAGTGGAGCTTAAAGTAATTTCCATAGACACATTCGTTTCTTCATCCTTTCCTTTTTCTATTATTCTTTTTAAAGTTAGAGAGATCTCATTTTGAGTCTGTTCCAGATTGAGGAAGATGGAAGAGTATTTCCAGTGAGTGACAGTTCGTCTTCTATAATTGATTGCCTCATGTCTGAAGCAAAGATGTGGGGAGGTATATTCTCTCGTAGTCTAGTATGCTAGGATATTTTAAGGTCCACTATGTTATATGTGTCATGGGATTCTATTGGGTTGTTGTTGTTATGTTGTTATATGTTTCCATACAACAGGAAACACATGGCTTACAGTCTTAGATGTTCTTTTGCCCATCTGTTGATATGTTAGTTTCTCAATCAGTCTCACTGCAGACTGGAAAGGTTGTCACAAGTGCGTCTTACACGACTGGTGGGAAGTTCAGTGTCAAGCTTGAGAAACGTTCTATTGACTATGTTGAGTATGTAGAAGCAGACTATTTGTTGATTGCTAGTGGGAGTAGTCAGCAGGTATTTTATACTATACATTTTAATGGTTGTAGTTCATTGTTTCATATTTTGACGCTGCTCAATTCCACCACTCCGTTCAGTTGGTATGTATTTATGCTCTTTCAGGGTTACAATATTGCCATTCAACTTGGCCACTCCGTCATAAAACCTGTTCCGAGCTTATTTACTTTCAAGATTGATGATTTACGGTTGACGGAGTTATCTGGGGTGGTTACCTTTTGGCTTTACAGTCTCTTACAGTCTTATCATAAAATTATTTTCTGCCTTCTTCCTGTGTTTGCTCATGACATAAACCCATGCTTTGTTTCATTTGCCATAGATAATTGAGGCAATGGTATATAATCATATGCTCTTTCTCCATATATTTCTGATTCTCTTTCCAGCTCTCATTCCCTAAAGTGGAAGCCAAACTGAAGTTAGAAACCCTTCGGAACAATGTGCCACAGTTCACACAGGCAAGCTTTTGGGAATTCTTGCAGTTATTGAATTGTGGAGCAGCATTTTCGTGTAACAGAACCATAACATTCATTTCTTAGGTTGGGCCCATGCTAGTTACACATTGGGGACTTAGTGGACCAGTTATCCTTCGGCTATCAGCTTGGGGAGCACGTTACCTTGCCAGCTCAGAATACAAGGGTATAATTTATGTTTGAATTTCATTCATTATCCCGTATAATGGCTTCATTTATTCTATCTATACATACATTAATGCAGGAACTCTATTGGTGGATTTTGCTCCTGATCATCACATTGATGATTTGAAGTCACTATTCCTTAATCACAAGCATCATTCTGCGGTACATCTTTTCAGACATTTCAACTTCATGACGTTTATGGATTCTTATTCACTGCTCTGTATTTAAGAAGTAGAAACTTATATGTAGTATATATCACAGTATATGTGATCAAATGATTGATCATCTTCAACACTCAATATTTTTATAGCCAGGCCATGTTTGTATGGATCATATATTCATATTCATATGAATATATGATTGATTATATGAATATATGGTTGATCAATATTTTTATAGCCAGGCCATGATTGATCATATGAATATATGATAGATCATTTTCAACACTCAATGTTTTTATATGATCATATGGTAGATCATACAATGCCACTAATCTGAACATGCATACATTTTTATAGCTAAGATATGCAATAATGCAGATGTGATGAAGGTGAACTTGAAAATGCTAGAAATTGCCGCCACATTATAGATTTCTGCAGCTACCTTATAGCAGATTTTATTCAGCAGCTTTTATTTGGATTTTAAGTTATTATCGAATTTATCATCACTTTCACCCAGAGACAAAAGTTGCTCAATTCAAGTCCCTCGGAACTTGGCCTGCCCAAGAGATTTTGGAAGTATATTTTAGACCATGAGGTTGGTCATTCCAGTTGCAGGATCACTGTTTATGTTCTACCCATAAAATCTTCTAGTCTCTAGATTACAGATGTCCACTGTTTCTTGCAGAGACTAGAAGGGGATATCTTGTGGGCTTCCATTTCCAACAATTCCTTAATGTCCATTGCTGTTACCTTAAAACATTGGTCCTTTACTGTGAAGGGAAAGGTAAAGCATTCCACTTGCCTAGCTTTTGACCTAATCATTCTTTTGGTAAGTCCTTCCACTAAAAGGAAATTTGTGTTCTCATATTACCTGAAGGGACAATTTAAGGATGAATTCGTCACGGCTGGAGGAGTTCCGTTGTCTGAGGTGCTTTCTTTTTCTCTATCCTTTCTCTATGGGGATGTTTCTGCAATCATTATCATGTGATATTCTTTGTTACCCTGAAACCTATCAAGCTAATAAACATTTTGATGACTGAGATTAATTCCCATATCCAATGGGCAGATCTACTTGAATACGATGCAGAGCAGGATTCATCCACGTCTATACTTTGCTGGAGAGGTTTGATCCCCTATTCATGGACTGCTTACTTTACTCCAGGTGCTATGTAGGATCTTATATCTCGATCTCTGCCAATTTCTGCAGGTTTTAAATGTTGATGGTATAACTGGAGGGTTTAATTTTCAGGTAATTGGGAATGCGTTCTCACAACTAGATTGAATGATGCATTCACCTCCCACCATTGACAGATAAAATTTGTCATTTATTTATGCAGTTATTAAATTAAATTTGAACCACTCCGCCACAAAAGTATTGATATTTTAGATGAGTGCACACATATAAAGGAATTGCATTGTTACTTAAGTTTTATATCAAATGCATTCCATTTATTTCAAGACACAGATACATTTAATGTATAGAGGGTAAATATGGGCGAATTTGGAAATTCAGTGATCCCTCCGTCATTGGTCATCTGGAAACAGCCGCTCTATGTTTTAAACATAGGGGTTAGACTGCGTACATCCGACCCCCCTTACCTCGCAATGGGCGGGAGCCGTTGAGGCACTGGGGTAATGATGTTGTTGATGTTGTTGTTGTAGTGATCCCTCCGTCCTTGTGGGATCCAACAGGGTTGTTGTTGTGATCCCTCCAACCAAATATAAGTCATGCTTCACGAGCCCTGTTTCTAGAGCTTTTAATTGTCATAAAAAGAGTCCAGTTTAAAACTCAACTTTAACCTGCAAGTAAAATCCCTGTAAAGGCAAGTAGTAAGTGGTTAGTGAATAGCGTCATTACTTCAAACAATCTTGGAACTAAGTTTTAGGGGTACACGTTATCACTCATTATATGTAAAAACTTCTAGTTTACATTATACTACGTACGTAGTATAATGTGTTATACCTAACTCAAATATTACTCATTTACTCTTTTTCTCTTGGGATGAAAGAAGTAAACAAAATTTGCATTGCATTCCTAAAACATTTTTTTGGACAAAAATGGCTNGGGAAGAGTATAAGGCTCAGACGAAGGAATAAATTAGAGGTAATGCTAGGGGTACACCAAGGTGTGCCTCTTGTACACCACCAGTCTCCCACCACACATTTCTTATCCACTCCTCACTATTCTTATTCACACCAAGGAGTGTGTGGTGGGGACAGTGGTAGTGTACAAATGGGGTACAAAAGTGTACCCCTAGCATTTTCGTTAATTTACAGCGTGTTTTGCTCTTTGCTGCTCTGTTGGTGCACTAATTGTCTGGATTCCTGACTGCTGCAGAATGCTTGGTCAGGTGGATATATTGCAGGAACAAGCATAGGAAAGCAATCTATTGTCGGCATAGAAGGAAATAGCGTGTGTGAAAGTGTGCACCATGACAACTGACCAGAGCTAAAGACATTTAGTGTCACTATGGCAGGATGCAGACTGATCTGGTAGGTCATTGGCTTTCATGTGTGCAAAGGTTCTATTTCCCTCTTGCTCCTAGGATTTGTCTTAGCTTGTCACTCATAACCTTAACTTATGCTTGATTGTTAGAATTTGCAAATTGTCAGTTAAGAGTAATACACTGGAGTGCACTTGTTAATGCACAAAGATGGAGATAGTTAATTGCTTAAGTAATGGTTCTTTTAACTCTTTCCATCTTGTGGTACATACTTGGAGGTGTTTGGTTCACGGCCGTGGTGCTAGGCATTATCCCGGTCTAACTTTCTACCCTTGGGGGTGCAATTATACGCAGGTCGCACCGAGCTCAACTACCTTTTGTGGCGCCGAGCCCAACTATCTCTTAAGCCCATATACTTCAAGCCCAATACCTCGGTCGTGGTCCAAGTCCATGCAAGAAACACACTCGGGATGTTTCAAGTTATCCATCATAGTAGTATATATTACGGCAATGTGTTATGTGATTACTACCTCCGTCCCATTGTATTTGTCAAATTTAACTTTTTCGAGTCAAACAAGACAAGTTTTAAGTTTTAATTACTCACAATTTGTATTGCATATTAGTATAATACGGAGTAAAATACAATCTTGAAAAATTCTTAATAAGATAAAGCTAATTAAATCATTTTTATAGTACTAAAATACATTATGTTTTTGAAATAATTGAAGCTCAAAGTTCATAATTTGAAAAAGTCACACTAGACAAATATATTGGAGAATGGAGTTCATTTTTTCCCTAAAAAACCAACAATCCTGAAACATCAATGCATTCGTAGCATACACGTGCCACTATGTTTTGACGCAAGGTTAGAACGTCGGCGTGATTTTTTCCCCTTGAATGTTGGTTTTATCGGGTAAGCATTTGCCTGTTCGTGTGTTTTTTCGCTTCTTTGGCAATTTCTATATATTTTATTCGTCTTAAAATATTTGTCACATTTCGTGAAACGAGGTAGAATATCAAATTTTTTCAATTTATTACTCCCTCCGTCACAAATTATAATGTCTGTTCACTATTCACAGGGTCAAACTTCTTTCACTTTCTTTCTCTATTTTCGTTAGCAATTTGATAAAATAAAATATTGTTGTCACTACTAGTTTTGTAGATCTTTTGATATAGTAATTCTATATGTAATTTTTATTTTTTAACTCTATACCATTTGTCATATAAAATGATTTGAAAATAACTTCAGTCAAACATCGTAAACCGAAACAGGCGTTATAAAATGGGACGGAGGGAGTACGTAGTATATCTAAATATTGGAATAGAAATAAAAAATAAAATTTACTACATGAATTTTATTTAAATAATAGGTGTAAAGAATATTTTATTTTATCAAATAATCAATGATAGTGTATAAATAAACAAAAATTCCCATGATAGCTAAAAAGAAAACTGTATCATTTTTTTGGGACGCAAGGAGTAAAAAAAGACAACACCTCATTCGACGGAAGAGTTAGGTGAGAGGAGTAAGTTAAAATATAAATTTGGTTAGTTGGGGGTAAATGTGAGGTTTCGTGTTTGGTACTAATAAAGGCTTCATGTTTTGCTTGGTTTCATCTAATAGCAACCACCAGACTTCAAACTTGATATCTTTCCTTTGTAGCATTCTTATATGATTCCTTTGATCTACGCCTCACTGACAATTTCAATTCTATTGTTTTAAGTTATTCCGGCAAAGTAATATAAAAATATTATTTTCTAAAGAAGAAAATGATAATTACCAAAATTCAGAGCATCACAAATAAAAATGGGAGGGGTTGTGGTCCACTTCGTTCCCATAATCAGCCATGGAGTCAGATGCTCGTGTCAACAATTGAACAACTTGATTCACTGATTTTCTAACAACAGACAAAGAAACGGATTTAAACTCCGTCATCAAAAGCTTACTATCATTAGATGTTTTTTCGTGTTGGGTTTTTTCATTTTTCATTTTTTTTGACAACTCTAACTAATATTTCTAATTGACATAGTGAAATTTATAACTTCTACCCCGTATACCTTTTATGAAACTCTTTAAAAAATATAGCGAGTAGAAGTTATAACTTTTGCTAAAATATGTTAATTAAAAATGTTAGTTAAAAATGCATTTCCTTTTAAAATAATAATAAAGCATAGTTTGTTCATTTCGGAAGTATTTGAGAAAAAATATAAGCAAAACATGATGTCAATTATATATGTAATATTGGTGCGGTTCGGTAGATCTTGTAAAATTATTTCTGACGATATATTAATTGTCAAATAATGACTTATGTACAAAAAATTAAAATAGACGATTCGATAGAAAATTTAATTGAAATGAAAAAGAGAATAAAATAATATGAGAGACATGCTTCATCGTGGCCGTGGCCACTAGCTTTCTCACACTCACTCACGCACAACACACTCACGGGTGTTCATTCATGAACGTTGCGACAAATGCCACGGAGGATCACTTCTCTTCCGTGAGGCACTATAGTTAGGGGCTGTTTGAAAACTTCTGAATCGGTAAGTGCTGAACCAGTAAGAGGTCTGAACCATTAAGTGCTGAACCAGTAAGAGGTCTGTACCATTAAAAGCTAGCATATTGCTTAACTATTCAGAGGCAAATGTCTGATCAATTCAGATAAGAGGTCTTAACCATTCAGACTCTGTATAATACTTAATCATTTAGAGGCAAATCTCTTAACCATTCAGACATCTGAACCATTAAGAGGCTGAAACAAACAGTCTGAACCATTAAGTGCTGAACTATTCAAACATCTGAACCATTAAGAGGCTCAAACAAACATCCCCTCAGTCTTAAGATAATCCACTAAGATTACTACAAATGAAGAGGACGATATACAATAAAGTTTGATGACATGTATGTTTTTCCACTCTTGAAAATCTAGCACTATATTATCAATATTATGGATATTGACAAAACAATAATGATTTATCAAAAACAATTAACACCCTATATATCTCATATTTATTTTATCTGTATTTATACAATTGTTTAGAGAGAAGATTATGATGAAGATAATGAGAAGATGAAGGCAATTTATATGAGCCTATAAAGGTTGATGAAGAGTTTTATTTGTGACTAAAAAACGTAACATCGAACATCAACTCTCAAAGAGCAATCATTCCTTGAATCTTTTCGACGTCATTCTCTTACAAAGAATAAATGTTTCTCGCATTCTTCCTTTACTTTATATGTTGCCTACCCCAATACCTTAAAATATTGGAATTTGGAAGTACAGTTTCTTTTTTTAGTTATGAACACTTTGTCAATTTCATATTTTAAATGGATCTTTACAAAAATTATTAATTGTATAACTTATTTAGTAAAATGTACTCACCTTCTAATTTACAATTCAAAACATAATGAAGAAATGATGAAATTAACAATCAAATGGAGTGAATAATTGGCCAAAACAAATTAGGTTAATTACAAGACGTTACATAACCATAATGAAATACTCCGGTTGTACAATGACTAGACACAGATGAATGCTTGTTGTATGCACAATCCTTGCACATTAATGAAAATTTAAATATCATTACTTATACACTGGTATCTAAATGACCCCTAGCTCAGAACTAGTGTCATCCTATGACAATAGGCCATTTGAACACTTATCGTACTTCGTTCGACTCTGAAGTGATTCTTAATGACCTAATCTTCTCTACTAATCCCAACCCGCCTTGGCCTCATCAACATAATTTTCACTCTCCCATCAATTTGAAGCACCATTCGTGGTGTCTCTTAGTTCCCATCAATTCAGGGCAACATGTCCCGTATCCTTTTATCAATTTGGGGCACCATTCATCCTACCCCAAATAGATGAGAGTTATGAAGGCGGGTGTTGAGGATTTGTAGCAAGAATTAGATGGTAGGAATTGTTTTAAAGTGGGAAGCACGGTAGAATGCTCAAGTGGCTCAGTGTCATAGAATGACATTGCTATCAACTGTTATTTGAGCTTTTATTTTGATACTTTCTTCATTTTCTATTTTTAGTTTTTTTTGAAGGATTTTTAGTTTAGTTCTTCTGCACTAATTAAAACATAATACAATCTTGCTAGGTATACTTTAAATACTGAACCCCACAAATCCACATTTACACTTTAATGACTTATATCGAAACACAAAATTAGTGTGATTGTAAAATTCATCACTATCAATTTGTATCAATGTAAGTCTTCAATCTCGCACTTAAATGAAGAAAAAATATAAGTGTAAACTTTTACTCCTTCCGTCCCTAAATATTTACAACATTTGCTTTTTCAGTAGTGTCGGAAACTTTTGTTTATTTCGATGTTTTCATTGATTATTTGATAAAATAAAATATATTCTTGACGTCTCTTATTTCGAAGAACTTTTTATATGTAAATTTTATTTTTTATTTCTTTACTAATATGTAAATAAAATGAATTGAAAAAACTTGATATTTTGGAATACAAATGTGACAAATAATTTGAAAGGAAGAGAATAAGATATACTTTGGGAAAAAATGTATTTATCCCATATCATAATATCAGGTGGATCTGAATCTGGTACGACCTTATGTTCCCGGCTCCATGTGGAACTGTATATATTCCAGAGAATCTTGTATGGCCGCATCTATGGAGTATGGTCCCGCCCTGACATCTCTCTAGCGTCTATCCATGAGCCCTTTACCTTCTCCGCTTGGAAAACTCTGGAGACTTGCAGGAAACGTCTGCGTCGTCTTGGATTTTTGTTTTTAGATTTTCTCTTTCTCTCCATTTATCCTTTTATTTTATTTTTTTTTGAATATCTGTTCGTGCATCTCGGCATCTTGTAAGGTAACGATTTCCCCACAGTTATTTCTTTACCTTTTTTTCTTCTTCTTCCCATTTTCCAGCTTATTTATTTTGGTTTTTTCTCTCCTCATTTTAGCGCATTAATGCTATATTTATTGCTCTCTCACCTATTTATGAGTTTCTGAGCAGTTGAGCGGAGCGGAAAGGGAGGGGAGACTCCTTCCGCCATACGTATTGTTGACGGAAACGGATACAGAGATTTAGATATTCAGAGATAGATTTTCAGACAGATTAAGGGGGAGAGGGAAAATGGAGGCGGAGTGTAATGTTGGGAAGAAGATAACCATTGGTGTATGTGTAATGGAAAAGAAGGTGAAATGCGGCTCCGAGGTTCTGTACTTTTTTGTCTCAATTCGTATTTGTATACCACCGCAAACTCCATTTGCAGCACATGCATCGGAATTGTTCTGTTTTCTATCCGGATATCATCTGTGTTTCGACCAATGGCTTGCTTATTGGTGTTTTTTTGGAACTGATTTCAGGCGTTTTCCGCTCCCATGGGGCAGATTCTGGACAGACTACAGTCATTCGGTGAATTTGAGGTGCCCGTTCTACACTTCTATGATTCACCCTGCTTCCGAAGTAATAATATATTTGTGGTGTATCCTGAAATTGTGTTTTAAAGCTTTACAATACTTTCATAATGCTGGTAGGTTGTACATTTTGGCGACAAGGTTATCCTCGAGGATCCAATCGAGAGGTAAGGATTCTATATGATTTAGTTGATCCCTCAATAATTGGTACTCGTATAATTTTTGAAATGGATTGTTCTTCACCTGCACAAATGTGCTGAGTTTGATACGTTCCTAACAAGAGAAT